CAGTTTTTCTATTTAAAAATTACTCACAAAAAAGAAATAAGGCCAAATCATTAAAGGGTATAATCGAATCAGTAATTTCAAAAGAGCAAAAGAGATTTCCAATAACACTTACAAAAAAGAATTTCCTTTCAAATAAATTAACATGCTTTCTTCCCCAGCATTCCCATCGATAATAAAACTACCCACTTGCCTTTTCAAACTAAAGTGTACAACACTATATGTCGGTAACAACATAAAAAATACAAGACCAAAAATCTACAATGTGCCTTCGTACAGAACTTCTAACCTATCGTCGGGTGAAGTAGTACTCCTTGTTACCTATCTTTACAGGGAATACCAATCACTGTTATATCGTTTGTCAGGTGTCAGTTTCCAGCTTAGTAATTACAAATTTTTCTGAAAGCAAAGAACGGTCATAAAAGACCAACAATATAAGTCGCACTTTTTAACATTAAGTAATAGAAAGTCTCAAAAGGAGAAGCTTAAATTATTGTTACTCCCACAAAATAGATAGAAAGCTTAAAAGTAAGCAAACAGACAGTCATAATAGAGTCTGTAGTACCAAGTGTTTATGGTAAAATTAATGGTTTTTACGTCACATCAAAAATCAAAAAAAAAAAAAAAAAAAAAAGACGTCCACATGCTTCAAAATTTCTAGTTACTAATCTCTTATTCTTTTTTTTATATTTGAAAGTGGCATTTTGTTTTATTTTATTAACATAATATATTTGTAACATTTAAACAAAAGGAACAAGGAAACATGAAAACAACAAAAAATTCTTGTCCCAAGAAAAAACAATAAGAAGATCACGGTCCATAAAATAAGTACGACATTTTAAAAATGAAATGATGCAAACTAAAATATGCTAGGTCTATAAAATGTTCTTTGATTTACAGAGACATTCTTAAACTGAAAAAAAAAAAAGAAAACATAGAGAAAATGTTTTGGTGAACTTGTGTTTTTCAAATCAAACAGCGGATGAACTTTGACTGCATCTGTTTATCGTATAAAAACTGTTTTATTCCAGTCTTCCTCTCAAAAAACTGTAGTGTCATAAAATCCAAGTTGTTTGAACAGTCTAAAATCCTCACGAACGTTTCATGGCAGGCAACTGCTGGATGTGACAAAACTTTCTCGACAAAGTTCTAGAATAGTGAGCCAGAAGCCTAGAAAGTGTGTTAATCAGCAAAAATTTTTCCATCAATAGATCTCACCTGACAACCTTTTTTGAAACAAAGCCCAAAAGAAGACTGCAAACTATCACCATCCAGATACCCGAATAGCGTAAAACAAAATGCAGTCTTCAAATATAGATGTTACAAAAAAGGAAATTTCACCGCTGAATCGCTAAACGGGTTGCTGATTAAAAGTCTCAGCATTATCTTTTCAAAAACCTGCACGTTAAAAAAATAAATATTATTCATTAAAAGTTACTTCATTATGTTCGAGACGTATGTTTTATCTAGCAGTAGTATTCATCTGAAAATCATGTAACAGTTAAACTGAACAATCTGAGCGCTGCACTAAAACTGGTACGTAGTTTTAAAACAAGGCGGGATACTTAAGACTATACCAATCCAGTGCGTTTCACTGGAGAAGTTTTCCTTTCAAAAATCAGAGAACTCTGTTGCAGAACATAGAAGCAATTTGTAAAAAATTCAGTAGACTTTTCACGGTTCTTATCAAGACAAAATGGTTGAAAAGAGCTGCCTCGTAAAAAGCCTAATACTTATGGAATAAACATTATTTGCGTGCTTAAGTTTCCACCGTCTCAAAATGCAGTGTAACTTGCTGTTCAAAATTTCACATGCTCCTTCAACCGAAAATTTTCTGAACCATACTTCAAAAAGAAAAGACAACACTAAGAAATTTGATTATTTCGTCAACAGAAAAGACTGCCTTCGCAAAAGTAGCACAATCGCGCCTCGACCAACAAAATGTTAGATTCCCACGGTCGAAATGGAAAATTACAACTTTAGAAAATCCCAAGTTATGCGAGAAAATTAACTAATTGTCAGCAGATTGCGGGGTGCTTTTTTCGATTACGCCCCACCATTTAAGTTTTCCTAGGTTACAGTACTAACGCAAATAGTTCGATCGGCTCTATATGCTTCTCCTTCAAAACTTCAAAAACAAAAAAATATAGCCCATACCAAGAAAACAAACTTCAAGGAGCAAATTGCCACCATCTTCCATTATTTCAACCTGTAGACCTTCGTATTTATTCCATAACCCAGCAGTCGGACTACTTGCAACTTCAAAAACAAAGGTAGAAATCAGTATGCCCGAAAGTCCCCCTTAGAAGCATTAGCTCAAAAGTACTGAACCAGTGCAAAACAACTTCTGCAAATTCAAGCCCCGATACACCAACTGCGCCAGAATCACCAAAGGTACAACTGTTATTTCTTAGAAACTCTCGAACCGATTTAAAATCTACTTTTGTCTTTCAAGTTATCATTTCAAGTTAGAAGCGGTGATTAAAAGTAAAAATTTAATTGATCTCCTTACAATTTAGAAAGATTCGAAGCTGCAAAACAATTGTGCAGGCTCGACATATAAGAAGATTTAAAAACAGAAAAGATCTTAAAATTTAAAAGTCATATTTTACACTCGATAACAATAATCATTTTTCAAGTGAAGAAATGAATGAAGAAAAAATGTAAAAAAAAAAACTATCTGCAATAAATATCAACAAAAGACTACTAAAAAGTGAGCAACAAATTCAAAACCCTAACTTCGACGAGAAGTTAGTTTAGTAGGCTTGATCGACGGTTATTTTTTAAGCTTACGTATGATACCAGAAAACAAAAAATCTAAAAGGTTTGGTAAAAAAAGCAAAAATCCAAAAAGAACCTAAAATATTTCGGCTATTGAATCTCACAGTCAGGAAATCTATGATGAAAAGAGTGAACAAATCTTCGCCTAGCAACTACAGCTAAAGTACTTGCATTAGAAGCAAAACAAATTTATAGAGCCCATCACTTGATTCAATAAATACAGAAATACAATAGAAATTAAAGGCGCCAGAAATGCTTAATACACTTCCGCTGTCAAGTGAAAAAAGTTTCTGCCTAAAATCTTTGCCCATAAAAGTGGAAAACCAGCGAGTCTTAAGATGGTCAGATAGCATGAAGGCACTTCATTCAACAACAGGATTTCGACACTCAAGATCAATGAATGACAGAGCACGAGATCTAGAAAGATATAAAAATGAATTAAACATGATCTTAAATGTTCAGAAAAGCACAATTTTTTACAATCTACCCAGTGTCATCTATAAAAACAACAATAACAACAATAACAACAATAACAACAACAAAAGTGAATAATGACACACTAAAAATTGAGAGAAACTGTTAAATACATCAAAAATGAATGAGGAAATTTTCCGTCCCAACAAGTTACCAACTGAGAAATCCAAACTAAGCTTACGAAATAAAGCAAGGTGAAAAAGAAGAACATATACTATAACCTTCACTTAATGGCTGTTAGCTTGCAGTAAAGCCATCCTTTTCGCATGTATTGTGTCCTGTATTTCCTTTTGAAGCTTTAAAAGTTCTAGTCGATTGATGCTTCCTATCTCCCGCAATGGATAAATTAAAGAGTTACCTGAACAGAAAAATCAAATTTTAAAATGATAAATGAAGCTGAAAAAAAAAAAGAAAACATAAGATATTCTATTTATCTAAAAAACCTCAAAGCTAACGAATGTAAATACAAAAATATGAAAAATGCAAGCCCAAAAAAAGACTTTAAGGAAACCACAACGAAAACTCTTAGTTATTCCTGAATCTTTTCGAAATCAGCAATGAGTACCACAAACCAAGAAATGTGTAATAAAAATGTTTTTACCGATTAAATTTTACAAATTAAGTTAACATAAGCTCAGAAGTGCTATAAACTAAGCTGCGATGAAATAGAACGATGACAAACGTACAAAATGCAGTACATTCGTCTTCGGGATACGTCCGGAATTCTGTTAATGGTTTTGTAAGAGGGCAACTTTTAGAAGTTTTATTTCTCGCCTCTGAAGGTATATCAGGTACTGAATGTTTACGCACAGATAAACGGCTTGACCTCGAGTTCCTTTTACCAAGTATAGTCAGTGAATTTGAACTGGTAGGCGTATTCGGCTCCGTGCCAATTTGGTCAAGAAACATCATGGCAGAGTAAAACTTCCACCTTGGAGGTACAACACATCCGGACTCATCGGTTACTAACTTTTTCCTTGTTTTAATATACGTATCTTTCAAATTCTTCCACTGTTTTTCAATATCGTAACCTGCAAGGGCTTTCTAAAATTGCTGGAAACAAAATTAAGGGCTGACAACTCAACTGGTAAGCGCTCACATGTCAGAACATTGTTTTCTGTGCTTAATAAAGCGGCTATTTCAATAAAGTGATCTTTTCGTTGGCCAAGGCATTTTGGTTCTCGTCCATGATCCCATATTGCTGGTCTTTCAGCAACCTGTTCAATAATCAAATAGCGTAAATCGTCATTGATTTTACCCCCTTCTTGCTGCCCATTGCTATGTGTTAGATCATTGTCCTGTTCAACACCTTTGTTCAGTGGATACTAAAATAAAACACAGTCACAGGAAAGAAAGCAAAAAATAAGTGGTTAAAAATCAAAAACTAATAAGAAAGCAAATTCACACAAAAGCACTGCTAAAAATAAAAAAAAATATTATTTATCCTCGGTAAAAAAATAGATTTAATACTTTACCCTTCATAATGATCAGCCCTTGAATAAAACCTATTTTAATCTCAAAAACATATATTCTAAGCAGTAGAAAACAAATGTATACCGAATTTTAGCCAAATCACCAATTGACTTATTAAAATAAGTTTCGTTTACTTATATATATATATATATATATATATATATATATATATATAGGTGCTGTGCTTAAGAGTGCGTATTTTTGTTTGTGGTCGTCCCCAAAATCCTTACAACTTTTTGGTTTATCAAACAGCTTTTGTTTATATATATATATATATATATATATATATATATATATATTATATATATATATATATATATATATATATATATATATATAGGTGCTGTGCTTAAGAGTGCGTATTTTTGTTTGTGGTCGTCCCCAAAATCCTTACAACTTTTTGGTTTATCAAACAGCTTTTGACGTATGCATGGAAAGCCATGCGTCAAACAAATTCGAAAACAACAGCATCTGATACGTCGGTAGTTGAAACTAAAACGATTTTTTTTTTTTTTCAGCGAGAAATGCTGTTTTATTTTCTTTAGTAAAAAAGACTTTTTTTTTCGAAAAAAAAAA